CTGACTTCCCATGCATCTTTTGTCACGATGGGGCTGACTTTTGTCACGATGGGGCTGACTTTTGTCACGATGGGTCTGACTTTTGTCACGATGGGTCAGACTTCCCATGTCTTGTCACGATGGGACTGACTTTGACTTTCCATGTATCTTTGCCACACGTATTTTTCTCTCGTCAGACAGGGGTCACAGAAGTACTCAACTGTAGTACATGTCTTACTTATTAAAGTTATTTTCTTTAGAAATAGCAAACAAATCAACGGGCCCTGGTATTTTACTGAGATGAACTTGACCAAGACATTTCCTATCTCACTTTTGGTCTGTGGTTTTTAAAAAAGTTTTAGTAGAGGTTTTACTGCGCTCGCAACTGCGTAAGGTCATATGACATGAGCGCCAGAAAATTAGAGGTATTACAAGAGAGTAACAAGCATAAAAAAGATGAAGGGGAGATAAGGACGATGATGTTTGATAGGAAAGAAGAAGCAAACCACACCAGAACACTCGCCAACCACCCACTTTGTTTGTTTAAGTAAAGAGAAGTACAGGGAAACAATAACGTTCATTTAAGTGCCAGTGAAAAGTAAGACAAGACAGACAGAAACAATAGAGGGAAAGAAAAGAAGTAGTACCTGACACCAGTGACGCCCTCCTACCACCCGCTGACCAGTGGTCAATAACAAGGTGCAGCACTACAAATAAAAAAAGGTACAGGTTTAACGCCCCTATCAACACTATTATTAGGTTATTTAAGAGGCGGGGCCTCCAAGTTTAACATCCGTCTCCGAAAGGACCGAGCTATGTGGGAAATTCGTGTACAGTAAAGTACCTTTCCCAAGGACACAACAATGTCGGGTCAAGCTGAGGCTCGAACCCCCGAACTCACGATTGCAGCACGACAGTACGAGTACATTTGTATAGTGACATAGAATATCAAAACAAGAAAAAGCAAGAGCTGGTACATGTACTGGTACAACACTAGTGATCTATTCAGATTATGTAATAATATGTGCATTTCCTAAAAATAAAAATTACGAACGAAAAGGTGATACAGATGCGTTTTCTTCCTCTGTTCTGCCTTCTGCTCTCTTCAGCAGTCATTATGAAATTGAATGTGAATACATTACATCATGTTTAGGCGTCGGTGGCATAGTGGTTAGGCTCTCGGACTCGCAACCGTAAGGTCGTGGGTTCGAATCCCGTCAGGGGCCCGACGTTGTGTCCTTGGGAAAGGCACTTTACACGAATTTTCCTCACTTCACCCAGGTGGGAATGGGTACCCGGCTATAGACAGCGAAAGATCTTGTCAGTTTGTTAGTGTTTGAGCGCTTAATCAGCTGCTTGCACTGTACGCTTCCCGAGAAGCTGAGAATGTTTCGGAGTGTTCTACGGTCTGCTGGGGTAATAATATAGTGTAAAGCGCATAGAGCCTGCTGTTGAGCGGGGATATGCGCTATACAAATGCTATTTATTATTATTATTATTATTTAAGTAAGTAAGGAGGAGGTTTCTAAAAATGTCCGCTGTATGTAATATAAGTGAGATCTCTTTTGCTCTCTAGCCTAGCTCTCAGGATCCCAAGGTAGATGAAGTTCACGATTGTCAAAATGGCATTGACCACCGACACTATGGGTTGAGCTGCCCCATCGTTTTATGCAAGAAAAATTCGGAAATTATGCAAACTGAGCCCAAAAATGTGAAATTATGCGATTCTGTTAATTTTAACAAAGAATGATAAAGGAAAATAATCAGAAATTATGCAAAAATGATCCAATTTTGCTAAATTATGCAGGGTGCATAAAACCACGGGGACAGGTTGAGGCGCGCTCGAGCGTGCCGTGCCGAGGAAAAGGGACACAACCAATAATTTACTCATAATCGGACTACTTAAACTACTTTTCGCAAATATGATACACAGTGGTGTCCCTTGCCATGAGCATCACATTGGCATTGCAAATTATTTAACCGTGTTTACTACTTGTATTATATAGTATTAAGTATTACTATAATTTAATATTATTAAAATAATATATGTGAGGCAGCGTGGTGGAATCAGGCTCTCGTCAAAATAATCAAAGTGAAGAAACTTGCATTTTTCCGCATGTTTGTGATTTTTAATCAAATTTTTGTTTTTTGGCTCAACACCTTTCACTTTCATGCCCAAAAGAACTCATTTCTGTGTGAATTTTTCTGAAAAACGTTGATAAGAGGCACAAAAAATGTAAATTTTCTGTTACCACGGACTCTTAACTAAACTAAGTAAATAAATGACTAATCTTTGGCAGTCATTTTCTCACTAATTTTACCATGTTATTCTCACTAATTTTACCTCTGAAAACAGGTGTAAACTTTTGAATTTACTATTAACAGTAACAGCGCATTACATCCACACTAAACAATATGCTCTATGCACTTTACCATCATCACCTCAACAGACCCAAGAAGAACACTCCAAAACATTCTCAGCTTCTCAAAAAGCAAATAGTTCAAGCTGCCACATAACAGGCACTTCACTCACTGACAAGATCTGTCAAAACCTATAGTGAATAGTGAGTGATATAGGCCTACTTGTACCTATTCGCACCTGGGTAAAGCGAGGAAAGTTTGTCAAAATTTGTGAGAAGTGTTTTCCAAAGACCAGGCCAAGAGGAGCCTCCCACTCAAACCCCACAACCAATGTATGCTGCACCATAATTACAAAGTTTTATCTGCTCAGTACCTTGTTCTGTGAAATTTTACCTTAAACTCAAAAGACCTAGTTTCATATAACGCCACGCTTTTTTAGTAGTTTTAGTAAGAGTTTTACGGCACTTGCAACACAATAAGGTCATATAAGTGCCGAAGATTAGAAGTGTTACAAGAGAGTAACAAACATAAAAAAGGAGGGGAGATAAAGACGATATATGCTTGATAGGAAAGAAGAAGCAAACCACACCAGAGCACCCGCCAACCACCCACGTCAAGCTTTTTCGAACGCAATTCTTTGAACATCTTGATAACAGCTGCGACTAACCATATGATTCATGATTTTGATGGAGCAGACAGAACATTTGGTTTCTGACCCCATGGTCTTAGGAACTCAAAACGACCAAAAGTATCAGATACACGTGGAACTTTGTAATTCTGAGGTAGCGAACATAATAATATATGTACAGAGGAATATGTTAGCATTACCAACAATCACCTATTTCAGATTTTTCTAAGCAGACAAGAGAGCTGAGCTGCTGACTTGAACCGTATCCCAAATCCTTCTTTGACATGGAATTAGCAGCTCAAGGGCCCTGACTGAACAAGATTACACATGTAGTCTACTGAGAAGTTTGTGTAAGATGCACATTGACACAAAAATGGTCATTTAATTTAGTGGTGATAGGAAAAAAGAACAAGACGGATCTAAATAGACAGAAATAACACCAGGGAGGTAAAGAAAAGAACCCACCAGTGACGCTGAGATTGAAGAGATTACTTACTACCTTAGGAATCCGATAAAAAGCAAGTCTTGCCAATTTTAGTTTTTAAAAAATAAAAGTCAATCCTATCAGATCCAACATAGGATTTTACACAATAACTTTCCTCGGCTGTTGGTATCCTTTGATTTCTCAACCTCAAAATTGTATAAGTATAGGTTTAACACCTCTTTTAACACTATAAGTTTATTTTAAAAGAGTTTAGAGGCAGGACCTCTCGAGTTCATATATATTATATATATGTCCATCTCCAAAAAGATCGAGCCGAATAGGAAATTCATTTTTTTTAAAGTGTCTTTTCAAAGGACACAATGTCGGACCTCCAAACCCCCCCTCCCATAGTCTCACTACATCATGTACAATGGGTCTCGTACTAAGACCACTAGGCAGCAGGCTACCAAATTCACCATCTCAAGTTCTAAAAGGGGCCTACAATAGTTGTTTGTGTCAAGCACAGCCTTTTCCCACAGGATGTCCAACAAAGCTTGAACTTCAGTTTAATAAGTTTTCTGGCACTTGCAACACAAATAGGCCATAATACCAAGTTCTGAAGACAGTGCATTTCTAGACAATAATGGACAAAGAAAAGGACAGATAAGGACAATAGATTTCTAATAGTAATAGGAAAGAAGGAACAAACCACATCAGAGCACCAGTCAACCACTCACAATCTTTCCGCTGCTAGGACACAAGACTTGGACCGTGGGCGAGTATTTAACAAGGATTTGTTTTTTGGGTTAAGTGCTTTGCTGCGCTTGCAACTGAAGAATGTCGTATGAGCATGCAGGACACTGAACATTTTCAGATGGTGTGAAATTTTTACCCGAGTGGTGGCAGAAGCCTACTTTTATCAATTTTGGACCACCAAGGGATCTTTAAAGCGCAATAGTTGCACACAGGACCTCTGAAATTTTCCTCCCTTGTCTGAGAAGGCTAGATGTACATCTTTTCTACAATAAGATCAGTGGTGTCGCTGAATGACATGAGTAAGAAGGAGCCAAGGAGTAGCAGTAGAAAGGCTGCAGAAAATGACAGAAGCCCAGAGGAGGAAGCAAAGGAGGAGAGAGCAGAAAGTGCAGACAAAAGCAGACGACAGAACATTGTTAGAGAGCAGGAAAGAAGGCGAAAGGAAAAAACTTAAGAGACGAAAACTTTTGCGTCGCAATCCGGATGTGAACCCAGGACCTTTTGAATGAGAGGCGAGCACCTTTATCTCTAGGTCACTAGAGCCCCCCAAGGAGGATTTTAAACGTGTTTTGCGGCACTTGCAACACAATGAAGTTATACAAGTGCCGATGATTAGATTTTATTTTAGTTTTAGTAATTGTTTAACAGCACTTGCAACACAATAAGGACATAAAGATGCTGAAAATTTGAGGTGTTACAAGAGAGTAACACAAAAAAAGGAGGAGATAAAGACGATCGATGTGTGATAGGAAAGAAGAAGCGTACCACACCAGAGCACCCGCCAACAACCCACCAAGGAGGACCTTGACAAACATGTTAAACAGTAGGACAAAAAGAAAAAACAAATGGCAATTGATTTTAGAGAGTTTTATTTTCACAAGGACACCATTTAGTTTGTTACAAAATGCACGTTGATTCATTAATAGCAAACATTTACTTTTTACTACTCTTTAGTGCTGTTTTTTGTTTTTCAAAATTTTAATAAAACATCGAAAACTTCACCGCACTGTGGACATTGCTCAGAAACGGTGCCCTCTGATCTTGGGTTTAGTAAACCTTTTGTTCCTGGCGTTGAACATTCGAACGGGAGTGGTTCTTCATCAGGTAGTCTGTGAACTCCTGGTATGGTGGCTTCGTAAACACGGTCTCCTTCCAGAGATCAGGTGTCAGGTATGCGTATGTTTTGGCAATAGCCGCATAGGTGGCCTTGGCTGGAAGAGATAAGATTCATTCATTAGAGGTTTCAAACACAGAGAAAAAAACAACAACAAAACTGGAACGCTGTCCCTGAACACTCCCCGAGCCCCCCCCCCCCCCCTCTATAAGGACAACATATTACTACAAACTCAATTGGCATAACAAAGACAGGTACCAGTGACTACAACATATAACAATGACAGGTATCATTTACTACATCATAAATGAAACAAGCACCCAATTTTTCACATTACTAATTTTGGACAGACCTGCTTCAGATTATGCATGCAAAAATGAACAAAATTACATCAGCGGGAATGCTTTTGGCAGTGTGTCTGTGACAAGGCTCTGAAAATTTCCACTGAAGATTCTGGAACAGTCCCGGAAATTCAAGACGGTGGTAAAGCATGCTTTTTCAAAACCAACTGTATGTGGTGTGTGTGATAAAAATCCATTCCCCCCCCCCCCCCCCCCCCCACAAAGCCTGGAACAATTCAGAGATTGCTGTAGACACTCAACTAATTGTTCCCACACAGAGACCAAGTATATAATTTGCTGTCTTAAATAAAAGAATCACATGAGAAATCAAATAAGCAGCCCTCACCAGATGAGTACCGACACAAGTAAAACAAAAACCTGCAGCACCACATATCCTTAAGTATAAACAGTGAAGATGATGTAGGAAACAGTCTTTAAAAGTGTACAACAAAGAACAAGAGCTCTCATAATATTTCAATAACATCAAGGATATGTCAGACCACTCCTTTGTGTTATAATCATTGAGCTGTAAATTGTCAGGAGAAGGCTAAACTTAGAATTTCCTTGCCGGGATAACTTTATTTGCCATTTCAAAAATTTAACTTTCAGATTCCCCTACCAACTATTAACATGTCTCCTCATAATGGAAAATCTGAACGGCTACAGGGTAAAAACAACTAAATATAGGTCAGAAAGGTGGGATTTACAAATTTACTAGAACTAAGACATGTCACGACGTGGTGGAATCTTGGCACCCGTCATATTTTGGGGTATATGGAGCTATAGATAGAAACTGGAAATATACATTTTTTGGTGCCTTCGACCAACATTTTTCAGTAAAATCCCCACTGAAATTGCTTTTTAACATATAAAAGGTGCCCAGCTAAAAAAATAAAAATAAAAATCAACAGCCAGAAAAATGCCGGTTTCTTTGATTTCATTAATTTGGCTAGCGCCTCATTTACAACGCTGCCGTGATATTTTTGAAATGCTCGAACATCTGAATAAAAATTACAAACAGCACAGCTTCAGTCAAAAAAACATACATTTTGTTTTCCTGTCACTTCCCAAGCTCCCTCATATTGATGAAAGCCAACAGCAAAGAACAGAGCTCTCATACATTTAAACAACATCAAGGATATGTCAGACCACTCCTTTGTGTTATAATCATAGAGCTGAAAACTGTCAGTGGGCTAGACATAAATTTCCTATCTGCAGTACTGCCGTAAGCTGACAAAACGCCTTTTTCCATTTTGGTGCCAAATTTGTTTGATTAGCTAAACCGAAGGTTTGATCAGTTACCTTACTTGTGAGAAAATAAAATCGAAACTTGAGTAACTTTTGAATAAATCAGAATTTAAATTTCTAAATGAATATAGATGAGTTTGCTGACAAAAAAACCTTTTGTCTCAAAACTTTTGAAAAAAAAAAAAAGGACAGAGTAGTCAGCCCTTTCCTCACACCCATTTTACAGACTCATTTGGATACTTTTTGCAACCCGGTGTAAGAAGAAAAATGACCCCGAACCCCCCCCCCCCCAACAAAAATCAAATCGCTTCCCTGTTAGGGAGTTAAACTATATAAATTTACATAAAAATACATTTCTAAGCATGGTGAAGTATACAGAAGTAGGAGTCCCTCGAATTATTTCTGGCATAACAGCTAACGTTAAAACCAAACTATAAGACAAGAGCTATGGAAAAATCCGATATATTCATTGTCACTCACCAAAGTTGCCAAGAGTGGAGGTAGCACCAGTAGCAGAGGTGTAGCAATCTTCAATACCAGCCATATGCAGCAGCTTTTTAGGGACAGGGGCGCTGACAATGCCAGTTCCTCTGGGGGCAGGAATCAGACGCACCAACACACTGCCACATTTCCCTGTCACCTGTGTGGAAAAAGTCAACATGATGAACAAGCAAACCACAAAACATTATCGAATTATATATCATTCCCTCTCACTTCTAATTTATCAGCCATAGACCCCCCCCCCCCCCCCCCCGAACAGGATTACCAAATTTCAAAATGGTCACTGTTTGAAAGCCACAACCTACATACTCCATGAAAATAAAATTTCACCAGATAAACATATTCAAAAGTATCTCAGCTTTTCACTATCTTAAGTCACCGCCTAAAGAATCCACCATTCAGAGGAAAGTTCCATCCTTATGTGGAACACAAAGTGGGAGTCAGCTTTTTTAAACTTGTAGTCAATACAATACTTACAACACAGATAATACAAGTGTAAAAAGTTAAATGTTACAGGAGAGTAACACTCAAAAATAAGAACGTTGTTAGATTGGAGATAAGAAAAACCAAAGCCAAATAAAGCAGCAAAAGTGACATCAAACAAACCTTACTGAGTCTAAGATTCTTACCTTACAGGGAACAGTGTGAGGTTTGCCGATCTTGTTACCCCAGTAACCTCTCCTGACGGGAATGACGGAGAGTTTCGCCAAGATGATAGCCCCACGGATAGCAGTCGCCACTTCCTTGGAGCACTTCACACCCAGGCCAACATGGCCATTGTAGTCTCCTACGGCTACAAAAGCCTGCAAACAAAAACAATGGAAAATCATTAGTCACTGCAAAAAATAACCGTAACAAGACATTAATAGCACTCTCGCCAAATCCACCCAAGACCATATTCATGCATGATTTTACATAAAACAATATAACAATCGATTCTAGCTTTAGTGCTAAGATACCTGCTAATGACGGAATACCTCAGAATCTTCCTCCAACAAGCTGAGTTCAGAAAAAAAATTGGGGGTAAAACATCTAAAAGTAAAATGAATTTTTAAATGGTATGACATAAGCGAAACACAAAAAAGGAGTAAAATTACAACACATCAACCTCCCAACCCCCCCAAAACAAAAAACCCATTATAATTAAAAATACTTAAGACTATCATTCATTCACCATATCTTAAAACTTAACCCATCACTTACAAACGGATGGTCTGAGGAAATTTTTTTTTCAATAGTGCACATTACCTTGAACCTTGTTCTTTGACCAGCACGAGTTTGCTTCTGCACTGGCATAATTTTGAGAACTTCATCTTTCAACACCCCAGTTCCAAGAAAGGTATCAATGATGTCACACTCCTGAAACAAACAAGTGTAATTTCAAATAAATCAATTTCAAGGACCACACAATGCTTTAAAATAGGCATGCTTCAATGGCTTCAAAAGATTTCAAACTAAAAAGGCACAAAACTGAAGAAAGTAGCTACGTGCTAAGGGGCCCAACTGAACGGAGGAAGGTTTAAAGGAGGAAAGATTTAAAAATCACTAAAAATAACGGCAAAAACAACCAGCATAATTGCCAATGTAAACTTTAGACCTGCATGTGAGCCTCAAACAGATTGTCTGAAAATTTTGCGTAACCCCCCCCCCACAAGAACTTTTGTGGGTGTCATCAGGAAGGACTTCCGAGTAAGGAGCGACCACCCCAACAAACACAATAAAGAAGAGACCTAATCCTAACCCAACCCAAAAAAAGAACCTGCAACGGGCCTCATATAAAAAGGCCAGCACAAGTCCAAAATGAAAATTTTTTAAAAACCACACTCCAAAACAAACAAGGAGCATAATATGGCCTACATCTACATTGCTATATTAGGGTTTGATACAATAACATAATCGAATTGGAATATGAATCCTCCATATAGATTCTACATCTAGTAATCTAAATAAATCTAGATCTAGATCTTGAAGAACAAGTGAATAAGAATAGGCCTTGAACTAGAAATCCGCACCCAATTCCGAACAGAGGGCAGCTGAGACTAGATTCTAAATGAATAAATAATTCATGCGCCTGATGAAATGCTTTTTACCAACATTAATATTACAGAACAACCTATGATAGGGTTTGACACAATAAAATTGGAATATGAATCCCCCATTGAGGTCTAAAATGATCTATATAAATCCAGATCTACATTCTATTAGAACAAGAGAGTCGGACTTGAATGAATCCACACGATCTGAACAATTGAATTAGTCAACAAACGAAATTGAAAATAGCAGCTCGAGCATGAAACTGAAAGTAGATAATTTAGGTCGTAGTCCTTTTTCGTATTCGCATTTCTACTCAGGTTCCGACAATTATGTCGGAAATGCCGACGTCAGCACGAAAACGAAAGAGCTGACAAAGCCGACAGGAGAAAAAGGGGCCACTGGCAGTCGGCCAGGCCTCGCACTTCGCACACTGACTAGTACAGGTGGGCCTAGCGATAGCATCGGCCAGCTCGCGATTGTCAGCAAACATGCAGGTCTAAAACTTTTTACCAGCACAACAGACATGTGGACGTATGCAGTATTTGGCCATCATCACAGCACAAAGAGCTACTAATGCTACAGCACTATGGTCAGTTCGAGATTGTTGATTGTTACTCATTACATACAAGTTGAGAAGTAATAGCAACCCATTGACCACGACCCTAGCCCCCAGAAATCTGTACTACCATGCCAGATTATAGTTTGGCATAGTCCAGTAGAAAATCCAGCCATTTATGATAAGCGTTTCAATATCAATCGCTATGAAAAGACACAGAATATCTGTTCAGTCACAATGTAAGTAATATCAAGTGAGATAGTGATCAACAAAATAACAAAAGCTTGTCTGAACTAGATCTAGATTTAAACTCGTTTTCGCTGAAAACATGAAAATTTAAAAACGAAGTGGAAGTGTATACAGACCCGGTAACCGGGAACAAAGTCACAAAGTATACAGACCCAGTAGGGGAACTCTTTGGTGATTTAGGAAAGTTTCAGCACCCAGACCCGGTAGTGTGTGTGTGTGTGTGTGTGTGTGTGTGAGAGAGAGAGAGAGAGAGAGCAGGGGGAAGTGCTAGCAAAATGTATATGACATGCCCCAGTTGGCAGGGGGGAACGAGAGAAAGATAAGAGTGGGAAATAGGTGGGGAGAAAGAAAGACAGAGACAAAGAAAAAGAGAATGCGAGCGATACACACACACACACACAGAAAGAAAGAGAGAGAGAGTGACCGCTCGATTGAAATTATGACATTGTTCTTTTCTTCAAATTGTCATTCCTCCAACTCCAAAACGGGGGAAAAACGATCGTTCATCAAAAAGACATCTGCAATCTTCTGTAGTAGTAGTATAAGGTTTTACGGCGCTCGCAACTGCTAAGGTCATATGAGCGCGCGAAACACAAGTTG